TACTAAATAATTATAAATGCGAGAGTTTGTACCTATATTTATATGATAATACGTTTGTACCTATGTATGTATGATTGTATTTTTGTTGCTCAATCACGCAAAAATGGTTGAACGTATTTGGATGAAATTTGCTACGCATACAGTTTATGACCTAGATTGAGAGATAGGAGAATTTTCATCTCGAAAAAGTATTATATTCTTGAGAGATTCTCAAAATTCTAAAATTAACGCAGACGAAGTTGCTAGCGGCCGCTAGTATGAAACACTTTTTTCTATTCTATTGAATTATTAAGAGCAAAGAAACATGGTGTAGTGTACCTACATAATATTAATTGTTATTTTATAAAATTTAATATATATTTTGTATAATTTATTTCAAAAAGTAAAACTAAAAATATTAACAGAAAAGTATTTTTTTTTATTTATGTCAAAAGGTACAACAAATATTACAAATTAAATATTTCCTTGAGTTCGCCTGTGCGGGGCACGGTCCCCAGAAGACTGGCAGCGTTGCCTCCCTCTATCGCCAATCTAATTCGTTGAGCAAAAAAGTTACCAGATCTTGGGTCCCCCGTAGCCTCGCACAAGCGATCAGTCATATCAAAATAAATAATAATGTCTTAAATGACTTTAATAAAAAAAATATTAATGTGGGAATCGGAACGTAGCGAGTGTGTGAGCGAGACGTATGCATGAGGAAGAAAGACAGAAGAGTGTTAGCGCCATTTTGTGATGGAGAGAATGAAATGGGATTCGGGATTAGGACGTTAGGAAGTAAAGTTGTAAAAATAAAAATAAAATAAAATTATAATTTAAAAGGGAATTTTTATTAATTATCCGATCTACAAATTTTTGGGGGCTCGTCCGGGATAGAAAAATATTATTTTTCGAAAATATCACGTTACGGCGCGGCGTGGTGCAACGTGGCTTCGACGGCGGCATTACGACGACGAAATTTCTACGATGGATAACAAGGAAGTTACTGCACCAGCGACGGTGGCATCGTTTAGCATGATGGATGGTTTGCATTCCATCGTCAAATTCAGCGGCGATGATAAAACCTACTCATCAAGTAAGTGGGCACAGGATGACGAGGACAACGCCGAAATATTCCAGTGGACGCCTCAACAAACGCTGATGGTGGCTAGGAGAACGCTATCAGGTACGGCAGCGCTATGGCTACGATCGGAGAAAACGTACAGGCCATACGAGGAGCTTAAGGCGGCGCTCGTTAAAGAATTTCCAGATGCCGTGAACGTGAAAGAAATGCACGAGCTAATGGCGGCGCGTAAGAAAAGAAGCAATGAAACATATCTAAAACGTTTCAACTATCCTATGCCGGAATATTTATTACAATCCAAATATTTGTGTATAGTGGTATACTAAAGAACTTATACGATTATCTTACGGCCCTGCCTTGCGTTATGCTATTGGTTACAGTTTCGAATAAATGTTTATTCCGAATAAACGATATTTTCCATCAGGATGACAAAATAAATATATATAACAATAATACATATTTATTTAAGTTCAACTTAGGCTAATGTAGGACGAGGAATCTTATTTTCAGTAATAATTCGAGCTTAGAGTTTGTGACTTCAGTATTAATTTTTATCAGTATAGTAATATTCAATAATATATATAAAGAAAATATAAATAGAAAAAATTCCACGCGGACCAGGCAGCAGACGGGACTCGAACCCGCACTCTTCGCAATCCGGGCGAAGTCACTGACCAATTATGCTACCGCGGCCCTCACGGACCGCGTCGAAATTCTTTTAACCATTCTTAAGCTGCAAGGCAGCGCCATCTCTTCGCATTATAGGTAACCCACAATGTCAAATGAATACTTTTACAAGTATTAAACATTTGAAAGAAGAAATAGCAATTATAGTTATAATTTGGTCAGTGCATTCTCCCGGATTGCGAAGGGTGCAGGTTCGAGTCCCGTCTGCTGCCTGGTCCGCGTGGATTTTTTTTCTAGTTATATTTTCTTTAGATTTAAACATTAAGCAGTTACATGCTTTAAAATAATAAAAATTATAACTATAATTGCTTTTTCTTCTTTCAAATGTTTAATACTTGTAAAAGTATTCATCTCGCTACATTGTTCTGGTGCCGAAACCCGGGACTACTCTCATAAGTAGTTAATCGAAAAATATATATTTGTCTTTCGTCTTTTGTTCAATGGCTGACCGTGTATGGTGACCATTATTTATCGCTTCAGATCACGTTAGATAATGAATATTCCTCTGAAATATATGAACAACACGTTAGAAGACAATATTCTGCTTGTTACTTTATCCTTATTTATGCTCGAGATCGCATTTTGGTGAAGAAAGTAACAAACATTCAATTCTCATCCGTGAACGTACATTTACGTATCAGACCTATTCGTATGAAAATATTAATTTGTTGTTTGCTTATTACTTCATCTTGCCAATTCATAAACATAGTTTTCATAAACTTAACAATTCGATGATTTGTATCAAAATTCATTTTGTACAATTGTTGCTCCGTACGCCTTTAGTTCACGTAAATTATTCGTACATATTCAGTACGTGTGCTAGTGTGTAGTATAGTTATCGTCTCAATAATTAAGTTCTTGAACATTTTTATTTACTTATTTCACGTAAATCCTTTGTTAAATCCATTCGTATTCGTAAATACAAATCAATCATAACGGAAATTCTAAGCACATGCGTATTCACATATCAATTTGTATCCATACGTAACAAAAAAAAAATGGGTGCGTGTACTTATGTAGACGCGTGAGAAGTTATCCTTCTTTGGCATCGTTTAAAATTAGTTTTTAATTGCATGCAAATAATTAATTACAATAAATTAATAATAAATGACATTTAATTTCATTTAATTTCGTTTAATTTAATTTCATTTAACTTCATTTCATTTCGTTTCATTTCGTTTTATTTCGTTTCATTTCGTTTCATTTCGTTTCATTTCATTTCATTTCGTTTCATTTCGTTTCATTTCGTTTCATTTCGTTTCATTTCGTTTCATTTCGTTTTATTTCGTTTCATTTCGTTTCATTTCGTTTCATTTCGTTTCATTTCGTTTCATTTCGTTTCATTTCGTTTCATTTCGTTTCATTTCGTTTCATTTCGTTTCATTTCGTTTCATTTCGTTTCATTTCGTTTCATTTCGTTTCATTTCGTTTCATTTCGTTTCATTTCGTTTCATTTCGTTTCATTTCGTTTCATTTCGTTTCATTTCGTTTCATTTCGTTTCATTTCGTTTCATTTCGTTTCATTTCGTTTCATTTCGTTTCATTTCGTTTCATTTCGTTTCATTTCGTTTCATTTCGTTTCATTTCGTTTCATTTCGTTTCATTTCGTTTCATTTCGTTTCATTTCGTTTCATTTCGTTTCATTTCGTTTCATTTCGTTTCATTTCGTTTCATTTCGTTTCATTTCGTTTCATTTCGTTTCATTTCGTTTCATTTCATTTCATTTCATTTCATTTCATTTCATTTTATTTCATATCACATCATTTCATTTCATTTCAAGGTCCCGTTCAAATCTGCCCTGTTTGCTTTGTTCAAATCTGCCCCACGGTCACTTGGAAAATAAAATATTACAAATAACGCGCCCGCGGCTAACTCCATTATGTTAAAATTTTGTGTTACAGTGATGAAAATTTCACTCTCATAAATTTTTCATAACGCGGTTAAAGAAGTATAACTTCAAAAATCGTAAAAGATTCAATCTGTAAATTGTAAACATTACGTAATAACAAATTCCTTTAGTCTATTTTTAGCTCAGTGCAATTTTTATCATTCAAATCGAGGCGAGGGTAGACTTGTAATAAAAATCTGGCCCGTCCGAATAGTGTGGGGACATAACATTTCGAGATAGAAACCGATTTTTCCAAACCGATTATTTTCATTCCGATTATTTTTCTATTCGATTAATTTCCATTCGTATATTGATACAAACATGGCATTTAATTTCAAACGTGGTAAAAGATTGAGCAAATCTAAATCAGTAAACACTAAAATAATAATAAAAAAAATATTTAAGGAGAGCTCCCATACAACAAAAGTGTTATTTTGCCTCTATATTAATAACGGTTACAAATAGACGCTTATAATATACACAGAATATTGAGTTGCATATTAACTAAAAATAAATAATTCAACATTAAATCTAATGTTGTATAGACAATAGTACGGGATCCTTCATGAGCGATTCCGACTCGCACTTGGCCGTTGTTTTGTTTAATGGTAAAGAAAGAAAGAAATTATTTATGGTATGTGTTAACGACTGGATAAAACACATTTCAACGGTTTCATATTTTTACAAGAGAAGGTGCAGCAAATTACCCCATCCTTGTAGTGCTATTTTGTAAGAACAAACTCACCTTTCATCTTTGCATCCAAGTTATGATTTAAAATTAGAACACCAATCACACTAATATTATAAAGGCGAAAGTTTGTGAGTGTATATGTTTGTTACATCTTCACGTCTAAACGGCTGGAGCGATTTTAATAAAATTTGGCATGGAGTTAGCTGACACTCTGGATTAACTATTAGAGTACGTTTTACTGCGGGAAAATATCGCTAATAAACCGCGGGTAACACTGCGGGGCAAAGCTAGTTATGTATAAAGTTAACGTATATTACATTTTTTTACTAAGGAAGTAGCACCGACAAGTACCAATGATCGAAATTTTTATAGACGCTCGATTGATATAAATCATTATAGCTCAAACGATTGGTGTTACCTATAAGTATATTACTTAAGTGATTGGTTCACGTCACTAGCGCGATTCCCCACCCTTCTCTCCCTTGCCTTAGTTGGCCGCTGTCACGCACTTTAGCCACTTTAGTAGCCGCTTCTAGCTTTTCGTGGCATCATTTGTGGCGACACTTAAACCTAACAGGGCGGTAAGTTAAAACTTTTTTCTAATATGGGACAACATTAGCTCCCAGGATCAAAATAGCCCGATTTCACGGGTAGGTTGGTAATGTAGGACTTACTTGACCCACTTGGTACCCATTTGATGCCGATCCACCAGAATGAGAACATGGTGGAATGATGGTACACATGAAGGAAGGTCAGCTGCTCATCCTTCTTCCGGAGGATGAAGAAGAACGTGTCGCAGAATTCTAGAAGCTTCGAGAAGTAGTACCACCAGACAGCGTCCGCGATCTAGAATTCAATAGAGCTTTATTAATATCTAACTAATGGAACAAATATTTTATTACTTTTACCTTAATACAGAATGATAAAGGTTTCGTTGTAATTATGTGTGCATTTAAGAGGGTTAAAGGAATCATTGTGTCTGGTTGAAGTCATTCTGAGCTTTCACTAAACCAAGTTAGGTGCTACATCACACTAATATTATAAAGACGAAAGTTTGTGAGTGTGTATGTTTGTTACTTCTTCACGTCTAAACGGCTCGAGCGATTTTAATAAAATTTGGTATGAAGTTACCTGACTTCTGGATTAACACATATGTTACATTTTACTGCGTGAAAATATCCCTAATAAAACGCGGGTAACAACGCGGGGCGCGGCTAGTCGGAAAAAAATTAGCAGAGTTGACCATATAAGAGAAATAAATGAGGTTGAGTATGAAGGGGAAGATGCTGAAAATGTAGGAGAGGCTGAGTATCAAAAAGAAGAGGCTATCACACTTATATTATAAAGGCGAAAGTTTGTGAGTGCGTATGTTTGTTACTTCTTCACGTCTAAACGGCTCGAGTAATTTTAATAAAATTTGGTATTAAGTTAGCTGACACCCTGGATTAACTAATTACTGCGGGAAAATATCGCTAATAAATCACAGGTAACACCGCGGGGCAAAGCTAGTTTTGTATAAAGTTAACGCATATTACATTTTTTTTCTAAGGAAGTGGCACCGACAAGTACCAATGATCGAAATTTTTATAGACGCTCGATTGATATAGATCATTTGAGCTATAGACAATTGGTGTTGCCTATAAGTATATTACTTTAGTGATTGGTTAAATTTGTCGATGTCGATCACTGGTTCTTTTAGGTCATTGGTGCCATACTTTAGTATTCACAATATATTAATGTCTTTTAATATATAATGAGTTTAAAATATATTGCATACTACTAAAAGTTTTATTGCCATGGTGTTTAAAGGTGCCGTACGTCAAAAGGTTCGTGTAAAGTGGGCATAAAATAAACATGAACAATATTTTTTTTTATTTTCAATTATCTTCTAATCAATAAGTAATATATATTTTGTGTTAAAATAAAGTGTTAATCTTCTATCTATCTATCTTCAGCCTAATACATTTTTCAGATCTTTCATATTTAAGTACGATATCATAATAGGTAATATCTAACATATTTCCATCGTGTGCGACAATGACATCTACTGTGATATTAATAAATGCGTTACTATGAAGTCCTCTAATGGAAATTTCATATTAATTATTAACCTTCCCACTATACTGATTAGTAAACACCATAATATATTAATCTCTTTCGAGGTTGGCGTTACGTCATGTTTTTAATGTAGACTTTTATTATATCCTCTTTTTTTAATTACAAACTGTAGCACTTCACGGATTCAGATTAATAAGTAAAATTTAAGAAAAAAGCAATTCATTCTTTCTTTCTTGGAAATTTTCATAAGAATTTCTCATAGATTGATTGCATAAATATGGCTTCTTGGAAATTATGAAAAATGTTCTCATTCTAAAACAAAATCTCAAGCTCACCAATTATGAGTTTGTAAAGATATAATGAATATACAGGGCACGTATAATAAAAATAATTTTTTATTCCGAATTCGACGTATTAATTATTTTTTATCGTGATTTCAACCGATTTAAATAACGATGAAGATTTTACATTACTCAATTTGAATATTTTTATGTAAATTGATACATCAAGCTACGAAAAAAATCTACCATCCCTCTTTTAAAGCACTTTCTTTTCATGAAAGAGTGTTAGTGATATTTTGCATGATAAAATGTTTATATGCAGAAAGAGTGCAGTTATTTTTATATTATAATTCATTAGAAATACCTGCGTATCGAATAAATATAATCATTGATGAACGCAATAATTAAGAATTTTCCAGAGGTCTAATGTCGACCTGCAATGCACTTTAATCCGCGGTGTGATTTAAATTATAATGTGAATCACACAGGAGGAGCTCGATGGCGCAAGTGGTTAGCGCGTTCGGCTGCAGTCGTTGAAGTTAAGCAACTTTCGCAGTGGTCGGTCATTGGATGGGTGACCAAAAATTTACTATCACGAGCTCCTCCGTGCTTCGGAAGGCACGTTAAGCCGTTGGTCCCGGCTGCATATGCAGTCGTTAGCACCCACCAATCCGCACTGGGCCCGCGTGGTGGGTCAAGGCCCAATCTCCCTATTCCATCCATAGGGAAGGCCTGTGCCCCAGCAGTGGGGACATTAATAGGCTGATGATGATGTGAATCACACTAATATCATAAGGGGGAACTTGGTGAGTGTATGAGCGTGTATGTTTGTTACTTCTTCACGGCTGGAGCGATTTTAATAAAATTTGGTATGGAGTTAGCTGTCACCCTGGATAAACACTTAGGATTCGTTTTACTGCGGAAAAATATCCGTAATAAACCACAGGGCACAGCTAGTTTTACATAAATTTCAAATCACACCGGCGGATACCGCAGTTAAAAGTGAGTTTGTACAGAATAGCACAGCAGTAGAACATCACTATCAGTCTATTTTAATGATATTTTGGCACGTCTTGCAACGAAACTAATCTTAATGTCATGAAAAGAAGTTTCGCCAACTCCCAAAAAAAAATGTTTTTTTTTGGTTAAGGACTTGACAGACCTCTTATAGATAATAGTGCTGTTGGATATTTTGAAATCCTTATTATCAGCGACATCGTTTAACTCAAAATATGTTCCAAGGGTGTTTTTCGTAATTTACGATAATGTTATTCTTATTCAAATCTGATGGTTTATACGTGCCACCCGCGCAAATAGAATAAAAAATACAGAGTCACGATAAGTAACAGATGTTTTGAGAGAACGCTTAAAGAGTTTTCATATATTTATGCAAACTATAGCCTTCCATCATAATGTTCGCATTACACTCAGCGTTTTCATTGTTAACTGCAGAATTCGTAACTGAACTTGCAAAATGCGTAGAAGATGTTGTTGTGATAATTATATAAAATTCTTTTAAGTATTGATTACCTATGTTTAACTTGTTGTTCATTTTGTTCGTGATAATGTTTCAAATAATATTGTGCAAATAAAGTACATAAGTACAAATGATCAGATAAGTGATGTGTTAACCAAGCCCTTAGGCAAAATTAAATTTGCAAAGTTTCGTTTAGATTTGGGCTTATTCTAAATTGTTATTTATGTATTATAAAAGAAAAGTAAGAAGTGTACCTATTGATTAGTGTTTGATATTTGAAATGTTTAAACTGAAATTAAGATATGTTAGAGTACTGTTTAGTTTTTGAGTTATATAGTAGAGGGTGTCGCTATACTTTTGGTATTTAAGTTTATATCAATAATTGATTTAACCATTGAGGGGGTGTGTTAAGTTGGCAATGGTTAGTTTTTTTTTTGCAGCGGCAACTCTTTTTTTTGTTCTCTTGGATTAATGGCGTCTTTCTTGCCTTAAACAATGTTGTAGCCGTAATCGAATAATAAATAAAACACCTAAATCACAAGCTATTTGTTATTAACTTCCCCTGATCACAGTCATCAATTGTCATCTGTGGAATATAGTGGTAGATTTACAAGAATCAGATATATTAATAAAGGGGGTAAATTGAGTGACTGTGACTACTCTAAACTTCTACCAAAGGTGCAATACACATTACACAATTGATTTTCAAAATGAGAGCTAAATGTAAACTGAGTATGAAAATAAATACGAAAAATAAATTAAATTAATAAGTGAAATGCAATAGCGAGTCTGCATTAAATTGTTATTTGCAAATTAAAATCATCTCACGATTCCGCACGTAATAGCGTAGAGGGTACTAGTAAGCAGCGCGGACTGCTTAACGGCTTTTTCGTTTCGCATCCGTGAGACTTGCGAGAGGCTAGGTGTGAGGTCCCTTTTTTTTGTATGCGCCTTAAGGGCGCCAATATCTGTAAATAAAATTTTTGCCTGCGTAATGAAAAAAGGGTGGGGTCGGTATTTGTTCATTGCTTCCGTTAGAGAGAGCTCAGAGGGCCATTATAAAAATGATTCTGGGAAAACCACTTAAATCCACCACCTCACTTCCTACCGTGAATGTCGCGTTCTGTCAGTGAGACGACTTTTTATATTGAGTAGCGTCATGCGCAGACTTCTAAGTTTACCCTTTATTCCAGTAAAGCGTAATGAAAGTCAGGTTTTCCCAATGGTGCCACATAGCAATCGTTTTGCAATGCGACATTTCTGCATGACTAGCTCTTATCTGTATAATACAATAAAGAAAGCTACATATATCCGCTACTCTCTCCATGAATGCAAGATGAAATTTAACGACTGGCTGTTGCATTGAACTTTGATAAAACTGAAAAAATTATGCGCTACGTGTAAATTATTTTCAATATGAAAAACAATTTACACGTAGCATGATTTTGATGTTGTGAGTGATTAGTACATGATTTTGATGTTGTGAGTAATTTGACAATTTTGATTTTTACTTTGATTTCGCTGATTTTTTTATATTATTAGATATAGCTTTCATTGTTTGTACTTTGTTTTCACTGAAGATGCAAGAGGCAGGCAGCTGAGGCACAGTTTTATAATATTGCAGCCAACGGCGTTAACCTCTTATTTGGTATTCCTTTTGTGTAGTCAATATTTAGAAAAATCAATTGCTGTTCGTTAGTCTCGCTAAAACTCGAGAACGGCTGAACGGATTTATCTTATCTTGGTCTTGAGATGTTCGTGGAGGTCTAAGAAAGGTTTAAAAGGTGAGAGAATATGGAAACATTCCGAGGAAGATAGTAAAAACATCAATTTAATTTTCCAATTTAAAATGTTTTATCTTCTTTCCTGCCAAATATTTAACGTTCGTTCCTTTTGGTACGGTAGACTCGGGTCCGTCATTTCATCCAAATTATTTTAACTCGTAGTACGCGGAGTCAACTAGTATATTAATAAATAAATAAAAGTAAATATCACTTGCAACAAGAAAAAAGGCGTAGAAACAACTTTACACAAAAATGATTTTTGCATGTTTACTATTAAGATATAAACGAGTACAAAGTGTATATATACACTTAATCCAATGAAGTAGTTTAAACATAAATAAAAATTAAGAAAATAAACATTACACAGACTACTTTGCATTTGAAACATACATTATTAGTTTTTGACAGAAGAACTTTAAAGGTCGAATTTAGGCAATAAAATTACCACTAGTTCTAGTAAAAAAGTATTATCTTGTATCTATATCTTTATACCTTTATGTAGAATGTCATTGCCCTAGACAATAAAGTTCATCAACCACTAACATAGTTCCAGAAAGGAATTGTGAGACAATATGATTGATTCCGAAGAACAACTTAAACCCAATCAGCCATAATCTGAGCGGTTTCGGCGAACGCTACGTCCGTCGGCATTATCTTATTTACATAGTAATGTAGAATGATTTTCGTTTCTCGTACTTTTATTGTTGTTCATCTTGCCTGTATTATTGCCGTATTATCCTACTATTAATATTATAAAATGTGAAAACATGTGTATTTTATACCCAATCACGCAACAATGACGGAACAGTTTATTTTTTTTAATTTAGCACGCATATTTTATTACCTGCATTGAGACATACGATACATCGTATATATATATAAAAATGAAACCCCTTTTCCGTTGTCACGACATAACATGAAAACGGCTTGACCGATTTGGCTGATTTTTTTTTAGAATATTCCTTGAAGTACGAGGATGGTTCTAACGAAGAGAAAAATTAAAAAAAATGCCTGAAAATGTCAAAAAACAAAACTTTTCTATACTCCCATACAAACGATTCGTAATTATATTTAAAAGTCAATTTGAACTTTAATACCATACCATAAATTTCAAATGTTAGTGGAGAGATTCTGGGAAGGCAAAACAATTGAGCGACGTGATGTCAATAGAAGTTTGGAAAAGATAAATATACCATCTTCAGTTTTTTTATAATCTATCTATATATATAAAACTCAAAGGTGACTGACTGACGTAGTAATCTATCAACGCCCAGCCCAAACCACTGGACGGATCAAGCTGAAATTTGGCATGCAGGTAGATGTTATGACGTAGGCATCCGCTAAGAAAGGATTTTGATCAATTCTACCCCCAAGGGGATAAAATAGGGAATGAAAGTTTGTATGAAACTTTGTCAATTTTAAAACAGAACGGGCTGAGACTTTGCATGAAGGTATAAGAATAATCATAGATGAATGTCATTGTGTATAAAACAAGCCTGAGAACAAAAACTGTAGTCTACGCTTCAGCTCTACACCGAAGCGAAGCGAGGGCGGGCCGCTAGTATTTAATAAATGTACGTTAGATAATATATATATATATATATTATCTAGCGTATTATCTTACGATGCAGTTGGTAAATCATCATTAATTTACTTACTGCATCGTCAGTGTTTACCACAGTATTTCTGTCTTTCAAAGGACTTCAACATTTATAATTGCTAATTGGTAGCTATCAAACGTACTTTTTTGTTCATCTGTTAATGAATCACAGTAATTATTACTGTTATGTACGGACGTAGCCATGAGACAACGGTTCAACGTAAACTGATTTATTATTCATCCACCGCCGGGATGCGACATTTTATACACAACACTTTTCCTTCCTAAAATAAAACTAGTTATTCTAAATTTCTATTTGTTATGATATAAAATAAGCAAAGAACTCAATGTCTCAACAATTAATACTAAATCTAAGTCGGTATATTAAGCAAACGATCGAAATTAATACACTTATATTACTAATATAAACATTATAATTTCTTACATGTGTAATTGCTTACGTCGACAACAGTATTATATGCACTCGTATATATCTGAATACTTGAGACTACCAAATTGCTATTAATACAGTCACACTATTTTCTTTACTTGAGATAAGACGGCGGTGTATATGCGATGTAAATTGTAACAGTGTATGTGCGATGTAAACTGCGCGGTCTGTTAGCACCATGCACAGGCGATGACATCGGCGACGGCGCGGGCTGCTGCGGTGACGTTCTTTCCGGCGCGTCTTCCTCCGCACTATCAAATGACTCGTCATTACCATCTGGTGTGTCATGAGTGGAGACTGAACTTGACTGAATAGGTGAACCATCTACCACCTGACTGAGTGACGTGACTTTCTAGTAAGGATTCGGTCAATGTGTCGCTTATGTACGCGGCCGCCAGTGGTTGCCACATTATACAAGACAGGTCCTGCTGTCCTGCTGTCCTGTAATGGACAGCAGGACAACACCTGCTGTCCATTTACGGCCTGACTTGGAGTAGTCACGCATCAACACTGGATCGTTTTGCTGAGCCACTGGTAATGGTACGTTACCACTTCGCCCTTCCTCTGTCAGCTGTCGCGTGCGCACGCGTTCTCTGTGTGTCTGCCCATCAGAGCGACTGCGGGTTCACATCCCGTCGTGCTCTGTTCGGTATTTCTACACATGAACAAAAATTGACTTAAAGCTTGGTTTATATCACGTTTTTTAATTCAGTTTTTTTAGCACTCTTTTTATTGTGCGTACGGCATTTTCTGCAGCTCCACTGCTCGACGTATGATACGGTGGTACCAAAGTATGGTTAATACCGTTGCATTGAAAATAATGAGCAACAGTAGCTGACGAAAACGGTGGTCCGTTATCGCTAACTATAAGTTTTGGTAAACCTAAGCGAGATAAGTGGCGTCGCAAACAATTACAAACAGTATTGGCTGAGGTTGAGTTAATTTTCTCTGCTTCGATCCATTTTATGAGTGCGCGTCAGTAATAATAAGATAATAATTATTATTGAATGGACCAAGGAAATCTAGATGCAACCGTGACCACGGCTCTGCCGGTCAGGGCCACGAGTGTAGGGGGGCGGCGGAGGGTGCCGGCCGCAGCTCCCTGCACGGCACACGCTCGCGCGCGACCTGTTCTATATCTTGGTCTATGTTTCCCCACTTCAATCGTTTTAGGTTTTACATAAAAATCTTTTGTAAGTTTCTCTGTTCTGCTCTGATACTGATCAGAGCTGCATCAGGATTTATGTTTATTTTTATAATATAACTGCATCTTGAATTTGCGCAGGGAATGACCCCCTTTTTAATATATATTACCCCGAATTTGACACGTTATGTATGTTTTCAAATACAAAACCATTTAATTTATATTTTTTAAACAGTAAGCAGATTTGATGAAAAAGCAGATTTGGTAAAAAAAGTATAAATACGGCCTTCGGGACTGACTTTATGACCAGCTGTTGCCGCCAATTGAATCCCCTGAACAGATGAAATCTGTTTACCTAAACCTCTTTCGCCCACACGCGAGTTTGTTACATAGGAAGAATTGTGTGAGTATTTTGCTACGCAATCCACTACAATTTTCTCGGGAGGGATTTCTGAATACTAACCTAGAAGTTTTTTTAAAGGTGATCCATCGGATTAGTTGGACCGGGGTCGTAAGGAAAATATGAAACGACCTAGCTGATGACTTCTTTACGTCGACAAATATAAGTAGTAAAGCTAACTTTCACCGAAGTATCTCAAATCACTTCATAATAAAATCAAGTTCAATCTCCTTTGCATCTATTTTGGTCTTAAATATGCTAAGCTGGATTAAGCTTGAATTTGGATTAATAATGTTGGTGCAAGTGGCCGTAAGTATACTTTGTGTACTATTTAAAAAAAATGTGTGCACGGACCACACATCTGAAGTGAAACTTCTTTTCTTAAATAACCTTACGAGTATATTAGGCGCTGCATAAGGCAAAAGGGAATAGTGCAGCGTACGCATTACTCATATATATGATACAAATATCGACAGTGGAAAGGCGAAATCGTAAAGGCATAACATATAAATTGTCGCGTGTGATGCTCGTAACGCTCGTAGCGTTTTAGCCTTCGCCGTGTTACCCTCCAACTTTTATGCTTATCGGGAAGAGCTGCGCACGCATCCCACACACACACATATATATATATAGTTATGTGACGCTCGTGGCCCATTTCCGTTTCAACTTTTCCATAGGATTGTTCCATTTACACCCCGTCCGAAACGAAGTATCACTTCAAAACTTTGTGTTAACCATGTAACAGTTATCATGTGTACAAAACTCCTTATTATAACCACTACATCCCAAAACCACCATTAACGAGTAATAAAGCGCAGCAAATATCACTATCATAGCCGCTGCAGGCCCTTTACAAGTACTGTTTTCAAAAATGATTTTAGGCACGCTATATAAATATTTGCTGTCAAAAGTGGTTTTATCTAACGATTGGAGTGGGAGAAAATATAATCAATAAACTATGTTCACCTCACAAGTTATCCAGAGTGTAACAAAGTTAAAATTTATCTCACCTGCAATTCATCAGGATCGTACTTCTGCCGACACGGCTCACATATATAGCTATATCTCAGCCTAAACGACGCAGTTAGCAACCTGACTGCTATATACGCGTTAAGGGCGGCCATTGCCAGGTTATACGGCACTAACAGCCATGTCAGTTTGAACGGCCTCCTGTTCTTCATTATTTTAGGGCCTAACCATACTATGAAAAGATATAACAGCGTGTAGAACGCCGTGGGCAAAGGAGAGTCCACTAACGGCCATCCTTTTGTTCTGTTATCTGTAACAAGCAAGGAATATTATTAATACTAAAGTTATAATTTAGAGCTTGATGGAGCGTGGAGTACGATGGCGTAAGGACGCTTATTAACGAGACGATTTATACCCGGTGTCTACCCGGACTGGTGCCGGCTGAGTTTATTCACGAGCTTATCCGAGCTTCTGAAGGCACTTAAGCTGTTAGTCCCGGCGTCATAACGGCATCAGCTTTCTTCATTATTGGACTTCACTTACATTTAAAATTGGCAATTTACTTTAATTTAATTTATTATACCCTGTGTTCCACACACATGCCGCTGCTTAGCGATGAATATATTTTTTTTTTACTACGTACAGCAAAACTGAGGAATACACTGTCGCCAGCAGAGATTCCGGACCGATATGCTCCGAATACCTTTATAAAAAAGAGCGTATTCCTTCCTGAAGGTCGGCATTGCATTCGTGATACTCCTGGTGATGCGGGTATCTATGGGCGACGGTGATCACTTAACATCCGGTGAGTCATCAGCTCGTATGCACCATATAATCATTTAAAAAAGGAATAGGCACTTACGATACTAAAGTTTCACTGGCGTTGTTGCCTACTCTGATCCCATCTTCTACCCCGCTTCTACCACTCACAATTGGTATTCTGCCAATCTCACAAGGAATTATGTATTACTTATGAATAAACCTTTTCAATAATTCCATCATTTACACGTCTATCAATTGCCAAATTTTCTACCGTTTCGACGTGTTTACAAATAGACATCGCACCTAAAAGTCTGAGTGAAATTTTATGTAAGAGTCTCCTTTTGGATGCTCCACATATCCAACGCCAATTCCATTCGATAATATTTCACGTGAAGTCTACAGACGCGTGTCATATTATCTACAAAAGCATAAAAGAAAAAAAAACAACCTCATTGTGTGGGGTACACCTCACCTGATAGTGATAAAGTCCACAAATAATAGTCGTACGTTTCTTTTAGTACGCTTTGCGTGGAATTCACTAAGATTGTGGCCATTGCTTTCTATTTCTTATTTCGGAACCTGTAACAAGAATACGAAAAATATATTAGAAAATATGAAGCGAATGAACTCGACAAGGGTTTTTTTTTAATTGGACGTCTAGGCATACCTACAGATAAATTTCACAAAATAAGCTCTGAATCTTATCAAAGTTATTGCTTTTGCGAATAATTGCTGCTCATCCGTTTCACGTGCTCGCAAATATTGTGTTATTTGCACATAATGTGAACGACCGGCATTGTTCAATTGAATGAACACGTGACTTAGTCAAGCATTATATTAATAAGCCGTTTCTGTGTACTGCTATAAGAATATTGTTTTGAGTAAGCAGAATCCAGGAACAGTAATACCGATTCCTTGTCCGGGGATAATGACCTTGTGATCCGTACTTTCGGGGTAACGCCCACACAGACACTTGAGTCTTACAACGCCTAAGGGCTTATTCCCACGAGACGGTTTTTAAGCCCGGCGTCAAACCGGGCCTTCGTCCGGTCGTCAGTCTTGTATGAGACATTATGAAGTGTCAATCACAGACCGTGGCTAGTGCCGGTGTCGTACAATACTGACGACCGAACGAAGATCCAGTTTGACGCCGGGCTTAACTCCAGCGAAAACACCACACCACCAAAACGAATATATTACACTTTAATAATCTAGAAAAGGAGAATCTAGCAGGAGCTCGATGGCGCAGGTGGCTAGCGCGTTCGGCTGCGATCGTTGAAGTTAAGCAACTTTCGCAGTGGTCGGTCATTGGATGGGTGACCAAAAATTTACTATCTCGAGCTCCTCCGTGCTTCGGAAGGCACGTTAAGCCGTTGGTCCCGGCTGCATTTGCAGTCGTTAGCACCCACCAATCCGCACTGGGCCCGCGTGGTGGGTCATGGCCCAATCTCCCTATTCCATCCATAGGGAAGGCCTGTGCCCCAGCAGTGGGGACATTAATAGGCTGATGATGATGATGAATCTAGAAAATAAACGTATAATTATTGATTTCAATGGAGAAATCCTATCAAGCCCCAATAAGGTAATATTCTTAGGCCTTGAAATAAACTCCAAACTGAACTGGAAAGAACATACGGACAAAGTTTATGATAAGATCAACAGATTTGCATTCGCACTGTACAAATTGACAAGGGTGGCTTGGATGTTCAGTCAGTGCTCAGATATGGCTTGTTAATATGGGGAAATGCCGCAGATATTAGCAAAGTTTTTATTGCTCAAAAAAGATGCATAAGAGCACTATGTGGCATCAAACCAGACATATCATGTAAACCGTATTTCCAAAACTTAAAAATTATGACTCTTACTAGTCTTTATGTGCTGGAAATTGTGAAGTTTGTTAGAAGCAACGGTCATTTGTTCTTACAATCAAAACAAGTGACTACCAGAAGTCTGAGATATCCCCACAAACTTGTTCTTGACACAAATCCGAAGATACCACATGACATAAAAAAACTCCCATTTGACATGTTTCTCAAATCATTACGAAAATGGTTACTGGAAAAAGCTTTCTATTCAATTGACGAATATTTATTTATTTAAATTATAAATGATATTCATAATATTATTCTTATTAAATGAATTGATGCATGTATTGGTATTGCCATTAGTTTTGATTATTATCTTATTGAATATAATGTATATAATTTGTTGTTTATCTATCTTATTACGGATTATTAATGAAATTGTATTTTTATTTTATTATTGTTTTCTTAGAAATACAAATGGAAATATTCCTTTTGCATGCTATATCATATGGCTAAATAGGCTTAAAGCTACCTGAATATCTTTGTTAACATGAACATTTCAATGTACCCACCCTATTTAATGGCAAATAAAGAATTTGAATTTGAAAAAGCGTCTCGTGTACATGAGGCAGAAGGGCGCTTGTTAACGAGACGATTTCTACCCTACATTTGCAGATCTTTTTTTATTACACCAAGCAGTGTAAATTTTGATGTTTTATGCAATTAACAATATAAAAATACGAGTGTGCTTCTGACCACACGACTGAAGTGAAACTTCTTTAGCTCCATCTGTACACATATATATATGTATATATGTTTACAATATATAGATGTATGTACATAAACATATTTCATTTACTAGCTATAAAAGAAAGAGAGAAAGCAAAAGTGAGCGCACACTGCTTTCTCTTGCTAATATCCCCCACTCGACTCCCGTTCGCACTTTTCGTAACGTCTAATGCATTCGCCAGCTTGCCTCCCAAGGCAAGCGTACGAAAAGAAGTTTCACTTCAATAAACAGTGAATCTAAGATCTTTGTGTAAATAGTTACATACCTACCTATTTATGAAGTTCTTAAATATGTAAGTTCTTGCGGTACATTCGTGCGAGCTCGCAGATATTTGCGATACGATGCGAATTCATGTACGTTATGTGTGGCAGCACTTATGGTTCAGTGGTAGAAAGCTCGTCTCGCACGCGGGTGACCCGAGTTCAAAGGTTTCATTAAGGCCTCAAGTCTCCGACCTCATACCGGGGGAAGGGACCGGGTGCCATCGGGGTGGCGGGATGAAGAAGAAGGTGAGGGGCGGGACACAACGCTGTCAAGTCTTATCTTTCGTGGCGCGTACTGTAAGATGACTGACTGAATTTGACGACCACCGTGGCCGAGTGGTTTGTATGCCGGGTTTCATGGCTGTCGCCGACTCGAGAGGTCCCGGGTTCGAACCCCATTTGTACTCCAGTCATGGATGTTTGATACGTATTTCTATATAAATATATTTATTTATGTACAGTATATGTATTCTATCCGTTACTCTAGTATCCCATTACACAAGCCTTACCGTCCTGAATTTGGGGCTAGGCTACTTAATGTTTAAAAAAAACAGTTAAAAGCCTGCGATTTAAACAAAATTGAATTAGTTATAATTTTTATTTTTTAAACATGTAACTACTTGATGTTTTAAATTTGATGTTTAAAAATTTAATTAATTTAAAAGACACATTTTAAAAGTTTAACTTGCATCGTGGTTTCATAAAAAAAATATATTTAAATACCTTGTATAAACGTGCGAAATTTTTAATATTCCTCCTCTAACTTGTGGACCCTCTTTTTCAGTCACAGCAACAGAGATTCGTAATAATTGACAAATGCTTCTAAGCAAAAAAATGGTTGCCTGTAAAGTCGGTTTTACGGGCGAAGATTTTACGTGACAACGTCTTTTTCTCGGTAGAATATTTATTGATATGAATATAATTAAATTGCACAATAGGAACAAGGAATTGAATGAAAATAAGAATTGCACAAATTTTAACTATAGAAATATATTTGGTTTACTAAAACATTGTACATGTAAACTTAAACTTAACACGAGAGACTCATCGTAACGTTACCGAGCGTTACACTTTTTCATAAGTGACTCCCAGCCGCAACCTAATTTAAGACGTTGTCACGTCAAAAAGAATCAAAATTTACCATTGAATTAGTTTTTAATGTATCTACACAATTGAAATTGGTGTATGTATTCAGTTTATAAAACTTGATATTATAGAATCTTTCATTTATTATAAATGTAAAGAAAGATTTTCTAGAAAAAGAATCACTTGTCCTGAAAGAGATTAAACCACTACACTAATCTCTGTGCTTGTCCCACGTGTCAGCCAGCCTGACACCTGTGACGAGAAGGGATATACCAGATTTTTTGTTTCAATATTATAAGTCTAGCAGTTTAAGGCTTAAAATCGCAGCCGAACGCGCTAACCACCTGCGTCGTCGAGCTCCTTTGGGTACGGAACCTTAAAAAGATTAAATACTAATCTTTGCTAATCCATAAATAATCAAGACCAGCAAACATAGGCTTAGACCGACTAAACACGGTATTCGATACAAATTGAGTTATTTGAATGAATGTACAAAATTAGAAATTAATTTTGAAACTATAGACTTAAGCTACCTTTTTTTTTCATTTGACGGAAGGTGGAAGGGACAGGATATGGAGGCTAACCCTTCGGAAGTATACACTTCCGAAAAGAAGGGTTTTTCGACTATAAGCCTTCTTTGGATGGTCCGACCCGTGAAATGAAAGTGGCTGAATAGGGATTGGTGCGAAGGCAACAGGCACACGTCCGCAGAGATTTCATTCACTAGAGTTTCATAAATTTTGGGTGCCTATTCTTCGTTTAACCTTTTTAGGAACTAGATATAGGTTTACAGATTTAAGTCCACTTGCAGCAATTTTGCTAAATCTCGATTGACTTAAACAACATTTAGCTCATACAATAATATCAAATTGACATAGACATTTTGACATATTTTTATACGTTGGAAATTGGGAATACTCCACTCGAAGTTCCCGTTTACCTGTGACAGACAGTCCAGTTAGGAAAGTCCATCTTTGAGAAAGAGGTTTCTCGTCGTATTCAGCTCGGATGGGCAGCGTTCGGAAAGTTGCGTAAAATCTTTGCGTCCCAATTGTGTGTGATGACTTACGGAAGCGAAACGTGGTAGCTTACTATGGGTCTTATAAGAAGGCTCAAGGTCGCACAGTTGGCAATGGAGAGAGCTATGCTTGGTATTTCCCTGTGTGATAGAATCAGAAATGAGGAAATCTGCAAGAGAACTAAAGAAATCGAACCGGGCGGAAAGGTTTCCGAATGGCGACCACGCACTGGACGATGCTCGGTTCTCTGGAAGGCCTCTACCAGGTAGACCGACTATCTGCTGAAGATCGTGGGGAGCCGATGGATGCGCGTAGCACAGGAGCACAGGACATGTGGAGATCCTTGGGGGAGGCCTAAGCTCAGCAGTGGGCGTCGTACGACTGAGATGATGATGTATGGGTTGCATCTAGTTTTATAATCAGAATTATAATTATATATAATAAATGATAATTAAGCAAATTTACTACAAGTGGGCCTTAGTGATAAAAAAGATCAGAATTCCCAATTACAAATACTTGTAGCCTGTCCTCGCTTCGCTTGAGTTTAGATCTTTAATGTCAGTTTTTTATATTAAATAAATTTAAATGAATGAATTTCACAATCTCGTTGAGAAAA